ACGTTTAGAGGGAGAAAAATAGCAAACTGTTTGGGGGTAGAGCCAGACCAGTGGGTGAAGTACTAAACGACATTTGTGATTTCATTCGTATCTGACTCAATGGCTGGTCTATTAACAGAGTTGATCGGAGGAATATGCTCTCTGTTCTAGCTGGAGCTAGCTGCTCTTTTCTTTTCTTGCTCCTTGTTGTCTTCAGTTGTGTTATTGTTGTTTATGTGACTCTCAGTCTCTTGTAGTAGGTTTCTCCTGCTTTCTTTGGGTAATGAAAATGGAATTATCCAAAAAAAAAAACCTATGAAGAATGACACATAAAATCCTGATTAAGAGAAAAAAAAATAACATAGAAACTTTTTAAAAATTATGTCAACTTCTCTCTTAATTATTTGAAAAATAAATAAATTACCCATAATGCAAAATATATTTTAAACTGAATAAATAAATAAATAAATCCATGCTCATGGCCTTATTGGAAAGGGATGAGAGAACTTGTTGTGGTGCCTCATATTTTAAACCAACATATGTAATAAAATAATTTAATTTGATTTATTAATCAATTAATTTAAATAAAATATTATAAATATTTATTATATGTGACTCTCTTAATCTAATTTATTACATTTATAATATTAAAATTTAGGGTTAACTACACAGATGATCGCTTATGTTTGTGTTTTGTCCAATTTTGGTCATTGATTTCAAAAAAACATATATGGTCAATTTCGTTTTTATTTAATTAAAATATGATCACTTTCGTTTTTATTTAATTAAGATGTGGTCATCCCGAGTTAACTGTCGTTAATAGCTATTAAATATTTTGATATAATCACACATTTGGTCTCTTTTATTTAAATATTCTCTCAATTTAGTCATACTTTGTTATAAATCTTAAAGGTCGAATTCTCATTTTAGTCCCTTTATTATGCTTAATCTTGTGATTGTTGTTTTTCTAAAGGGTAAAATACATTCTTAAATGTTAAACTTTGACCATATTTTTGTTCTGATCATTGAGCTATAAAAAGTTAAAATGATAGTACTAAAGTTTTCTAATTCATTTTTTAGTCATCAAACTTAAAATTTTAATGCGGTTTATGATGTGATTTTTTTTCTTTTGTAAAAAGATCTTATATACTTTCCATTATCATCTAATAACGTACGTGACATAGATGATACAACAATGTTTACCTTTTATACCCCACTTTCTTCTCAATAATTTTGTTTTTCTCAAAATTCATTCCAAATCAATGAAAATAAAGTCAAAATTATCTTCTAATGCTTAAATCTCTGTCAATAATGGTTCGATGAAGTTAGTTTCATAATATATTATTTTTCTTATTGAAAGCATATTTCTTACTATTTAAATTTTTGGTTGACCACATCCAAAACCATTAAATCCGACAAAGTTTTTACTCCTCTAAGAAATAAAGAGATAAATGTTAAAGTTTTGTGAATTTTATAAATATTTTTGACAAAATTAAATTGATAAACGATAATAAACAAATTAATAAGTGTCTAGAGTGACAAAAAATAGAAGAGAATGTGATAAATGATAGTTGATATAACAATATAATTAGACTTACTTATCATATACATCAGTCGAATAAATCTATAGTTAACAAACTAACATAATATTTAAAAGTGTGACTAAATTGAGAGATATGTAAATAACAGTGATCAAATATGTGATTATATCAAACATATTTAACTATGTTAACGAGATTTAACTCGGGGTAACCACATATTATTAATAAAAACGAAAGTGACCATATCTTAGTTAAATAAAAATGAAAGTGACCATATCTTATGTTTTTTTTAAATCAGTGACAAAAAATGGACAAAACACAAACATAAATGACCATCTGCCTAGTTAACCCTAATATTTGAATATTTACAATATAATATTTTATCTCGTTAAACAACTTACAATTATAATATCAATGTTATTAATATGATAATGAATTGGGTGTATTGAGTTAAATTTATTTAAAATCACTTAAAACTTCTAATTCAAGTAGAATTATACAGTTAAATTATTACCATTTTTCTAAATAAAAGTATATTATTGTACATACCAAGCCACCTCAGTGGTTAAAGGAATAATTATTATTTTAGAAGTTTCAGGTTCGAGCGTCAGAGAGTCTTTAAAACAAATACTACCGCTTGTAAGATAAAAAAAAATGTTAATCAGTAAACAATGCCTTAAACACGTTACCCCCTCCCTCCCTCTCTCATATATATATATATATATACAAAAAAAACAATATATAATGTAATTTAATGTAATGTAATATATCATAAATATTTAGAAAGATCACTAAATTATCAACTATTTAGCCCGGTCCAATTATGCTCCCATACCTTATACTTTTCCCACATTTAAAATTTAATTCATCTACTTTTAATACAAGAAAAATTTAGTCTTTCTATTCTTTTGATTTAATAATTGATGTCTAATTGGTAAAGTTGATGAACTTTGTTAAATTGGACTTCAATTATCAAATCAAAAGAACAGATGATTAAATTCCTATATGCATTACATTTCAAATGCGTGAAGAATACAGGGACTGGAAGCAAAGTAAGACCATTACATTTTAAAACACAGATGAGGATCCGCCACGTGGGATAAAATGGTCCGACAAACAGCGAACGTTGGCTGTTCGAGTTTTTGAATCAAATCTACTGTGTAAAATTTATGAAAAGGACAAACAAAAAAAGAAAGATTAAAATTTTAAAAGAAGAAAATAAGAGTGGTGAAAACTTAAAGATGTAAATAAATACAAAATAATTAAACAGTGAAAATAAAAAAAAAGGAAACAAATAAATACGAAATAATTATGCAGTGAAAATTTTTAAAAGAAAAGTAAATAAATAAAAAATAATTATACAGTGAAAATTTATTTATAGGAGGAGGCAATGGTATGGGACTGTTATTGTTTGTTTCAAAGATCCAAACTCTCTATCTCAACCCTAAAATCCTGGCCACTCTCTAGATTTACTCCATTAATTATAATTTAATTAAAATTAATTAATTAAAACAGACACCCCCTTTCTTAATTAATCTGCAAAAACACATTGGCTACTCTTTTTGGAATGGGCTTGTTTGTTAATTTCTGTGTTAAAGGTGAACCAGCTCCTGGATTCAAGGTACCCTTTTGTCTTTTTCATTTTTCTTTCTCTTTCAAAATTGTTGCTTGGTGGTTAAGTTTTGAGAGTTGATGTTTACGGGGCCTTTTATTTTGGGTTGAATATCAATGATCTGTCTCTTTTGTTGGAAATTTCCAAGCTTTCGCTGCGTCATTGTCTCATTTGTTCTTTTTCGTCTTTGTTTTTCATGCATTTGAATATTTCAGGTGAAAAATGAAACTGGGTATGGATTTCTTTTACTCAAGTACCAAAATTTGATGGTTTTTTCGTTGGAAATTGGTGTATGGAGTTTTTCTTCTTGTTCTGTTAACAGTTTCTTAGGATCTGTTCTTTGAGGGGTCAAATTTGTAGCTTTCAGCAATGTGGATTGTGTTCATTGATTTTTGCCTTAATTTATCTTTTGTTCCTACACTATCACAGCTCACAAGACTTTCAAATCTGGGTTATGCAAGGATGTTGAATGTAATTTAAATATGACATGTCCCCCCCACCCCACCCCCCCGGGAATGTTTGTGCTTTTGAAATTTGGAATTTTAGTTTCGGTTTGTAAATGTTATTTCTGTACAAATGTTTAGTTTCCATTTGTGTTTGTGAAATCAGGACTTAAAGCTAGGGACCATGAATGGCTGGCTGCATTAATGTCCTCCAGTGAAGACTAGAGTTGGGGTTTCTCTTTGTTTGGCACCTGTGTACAGTTTTTTTTTTCTTTCTATAAAGGTTGATTCTCAGAGATGACACGGGGTGGGATTCGAGCAAGGCTCAGGCCGAGTAATCTCTATACATTCACATGTCTTAGGCCAAGATCTGCTGAAGAGGGGGAGCATTCTTTTGAAGGGCCTGGGTACACGAGACTTGTGCACTGCAACCAACCTCTTTTGCACAAGAAAAAACCTTTTAAGTATCGATCGAATTACGCATCCACGACCAAGTATAATGTTTTAACTTTCTTACCAAAAGCTTTGTATGAGACTCATGATAGCAAAGTCATGCAGAATGCTACAAAGACCCCTTCAAAAAGGAGCAAAATAGAACCTGGTGATCTCATTTATCAACTCTATTGGTTTCGCAGTGAAAACAAAGTTTCAGATGCCACACTGGTGGTATCTGCAACCTAAGAAGACATATGATTATTATAATCCTTCAAAGCCTGTATTATCAGTGATCGCCCATCTTATAACTGCCCTCATGCTTTATGTGTATGTATTTAATACCTATTTCACTTTATGTTTCAATTGAGATGGTGAAGGTTTTGCAAGCAACTTTTATTAATAAGGACAAACAAATGTATGATGAAGAAACTGGGAATCCTGCTCAAGCACGGACATCAAATTTAAATGAGGAGTTGGGCCAGGTAGATACAATCCTTTCAGATAAAACTGGCACTTTGACATGCAATCAAATGGATTTTCTCAAATGTTCCATTGCCGGCACTGCATATGGTGTGCACTCTAGTGAAGTTGAACTTGCTGCTGCACAGCAGATGGCTACTGACCTTGAAGATCAACTGGTTTCAGGGAAAAGGGAAAACAACAAGAAATTGAGCTTGAAAGTGTTGTTATTTCCAAAGATGAAATGGCTCTTAAACCTCCCCTAAAAGGGTTTAGCTTTGAGGACAACTGCCTAATGGATGAGAACTGGTTGAACGAGCCTAATACAGATGTGATCATGTTATTTTTTCGAATATTAGCAATTTGTCGCACTGCTATACCTAAACTGAATTAAGAAACCGGCAATTATACGTATGAATCAGAATCACCTGATGAAGGAGCCTTTCTTGGTGCTGCCAGAGAATTTGGTTTTTTGTTTTTTAAGAGAATTCAGTCAAGTGTGTTTGTCCATGAAAGATATTCAGCTTCAGGGCAAGCAATTGACAAGTGGGGAAACCAACACACAATGTTTGTGCTCTTTGCTAATCTCTATTGAATTCCATTGTTTTAGCATCTTAATGGTCCTTTGGGGCATCTTGTAGGGAGTTCAAACTTCTAAATATGTTGGAATTTACTAGCAAAACAAAGCGAATGACAGTAATTGTAAGGGATGAAGAGGGGCAGATTCTTCTTTTGTGTAAAGGTGCCGACAAGTTAGTCTCTCTTTTTGCCCTTTGGACTTGTTCAGTACTATGAACAATTTCATCGGGTTGCCAATTTGTATTTCCTTGGAGCTGCAATTGTTTCACTTTCGCCATTTTCTGCTGTGAGCATGATTTCTCCCTTGGTCTTTGTTGTAGGGCTTAGCATGACAAAGGAAGCATTAGAGGATTGGCGGAGGTTTATTCAAGATATAGAAGTTAATAATCGGAAGGTAAAATTTCATAACGGGGAAGGTGTTTTTGGTAATAGGTCATGGAAGAAGCTTCGGGTTGGAGATGTGGTGAAAGTGAAGAAGGATCAGTTTTTTCCAGCAGATTTGCTACTTCTTTCATCAAGTTATGAAGACGGAATTTGCTATGTTGAGACTTTGAATTTAGATGGTGAGACAAACTTGAAGGTAAAGAGAGCTTTGGAGGTTACATTGCCTTTGAATGAGGATGTGGCTTTCAAGAACTTCACAGGAACAGTTAAATGTGAAGATCCCAACCCTAGCCTTTACACCTTTATCAGTAATTTTGAATATGATGATGAAGCTTATGCCCTTGACCCTAGCCAAATTCTTCTTAGAGACTCGAAGCTGCGTAATACAGCTTTTGTCTATGGAATTGTAATTTTCACTGGTCATGAACTTCAGTGTATTAATAGAAGCTCAAGGTACCCATCACCAGTTTGTATCTTTAATGGGGTGATGATTTTTATTTTACTGATTTATTGTTACTCTGTTTGGTGCAGTATTATTTTTGACAGGCCATCAAAGAACGGAAGTTTGTACGAGGAAGATACCACAAGGCATTTGAATGAGTATGGAGAAGGTGGATTGCGAACGTTGGCACTGGCTTATAAAAGGCTTGGGGAGTCTGAGTACTCTGCTTGGAATGATGAATTTCAGAAAGCAAGAACTTCAATTGGGGCAGGTAGAGATGCAATGCTTGAAAATGTCACAGAGATGATGGAGAGGGATTTGATTCTCGTTGGTGCTACTGCTGTGGAAGACAAATTGCAAAAGGGGGTATGTGTTATTTCGGCTTGCTTTCTCTAAGAAACTTCTTTTTTGGTTTACATAAACCTGTTTCAACTTCTCTTCATTTCAGGTACCCCAATGTATAGATAGACTTGCACAAGCAGGTATGAAGATCTGGGTTTTGACAGGGGACAAGGTGGAAAATGCTATAAATATAGGGTTTGTATCTTTCCATTCAATATTAGACTTTATTTTACCTCTTCTAATCAGAACCTGAAATTGGATTTTTGATAGAAAGATGCTCTACGAAATCAATTTAGTTAAAGTTTCTTTTTGTGATGCAGATATGCTTGCAGTCTGCTTAGGCAAGGCATGAAGCAGATCTGTATTACAGCCATTAGTTCGGATGATAGAGAGGTATGTAATATTTCTTTTGTAGTGAAAGACAGGAATTTTTCTTTTGGAAATTGTTTTCATTGATGTCAGACTCTTTTGCTTTTGTTACTGGTTAGGTAGTTAAGGAGAACATAATGTTGCAAATTTCCAATGCTTCACAAATGAATAAACACGAAAAAGATCCACATGCTGCATTTGCATTGATCATCGATGGAAAGACTCTTGCATATGCCTTGGAAGATGATATGAAACAACACTTCTTAGTCTTAGCTGTTCAGTGTGCATCTGTCGTATGCTGTTGTGTGTCTCCCATGCAGAAGGCACTAGTAAGATATCTTTTTCCTTTCCTTTCCTTGCAGCCTGTTCTAAGCTTTTAAAGGATCAAATCAGATGATACTCCTGATGGCGGAGATCTCATCATATCTTTATTTTGTAATTTTTTTGGGTACCAGGTAACAAGGTTAGTAAAAGAAGGAACTGGGAAAACCACCTTAGCTATTGGTGATGGTGCAAATGATCTTGGAATGATTAAAGAAGCCGACATTGGAGTTGGCATCAGTGGCGTGGAAGGTATGCAGGTTGGTAAACATATCTCACTCTTCTTGCTGTTGCAATATATATTCGTGTAATGCTAGTAGCAAATGAATCTTTTACATAGGTTTATATTTAAGGCTATTCATATTTACGAATTTTGAAGAGCATAGATATGTATATATATGGGAACTTGCTCCTTTGGTCCTTTTATGTACTCATGACATATATATGTATATATATATGAGCTTCATGATTCATGTCGGTTGTTCTTCTGTTCAATTAGTAATAGATGTAAACCTTAGCAGTTTATGCACATCCATCATCATCGCGAGAAAATTTTTGTTAAGCTTCTTTGGACCATTTCCAGAAATGTTTGCATGTTAGTGATTTATGTAACTTGTTCCCTTTTGCAGGCTGTAATGGCCAGCGACTTCTCCATTGCCCAATTCCGTTTCTTGGAAAGGCTTCTTGTTGTCCATGGACACTGGTGTTATAAGAGGATTGCACAGATGGTAATAACGAGGGATTACCTGCATTTTCCATTTTCTTACATTCTTTATTCTGTGTTGACCTCTGATTTGGTACGACTTTGATCTTCAGGTTTGCTATTTCTTCTACAAGAACATAGCATTTGGCCTTACCCTCTTATACTTTGAGGCATTTGCAGGATTTTTTGGACAATCAGTTTACGATGACTGGTACATGTTACTGTTCAATGTTGTTTTTACATCATTGCCTGTAATTTCACCAGGAGTTTTCGAGCAAGATGTTTCTTTTGAGGTCCGCTTACAGGTAAGTCCGTGAAACAACTTTCTTATTAACAAAATTCGTCCATGCTACTAGCGATGATAAAATTCTTTATGACTATGTGTTGCAGTTTCCTGCATTATATCAACAAGGACCTAAGTGTAATTTACATTTGTTAAAAAAATCATGAAAGAGAGTGGGAAAGAGAGAGAGGGCCTCAGGCGGTCAGTCCTCCGGTGAGGATTGGATGGTATTTGTGGAAAATTTAAGTAAGAGGGTAACTTGGAGAACAGTAAAGGAGATTTTTCAACAACAGGGGAGTGTTCTGCGCGTTTATATTTCGAGTAGTTCTAACAAGCCAAATTATAGAAACCATACGTTTGCTTTCGTTCAGTTTTTAAAAAAAGATGGGTTGAAGAATGCGATAGCAAATGTCAATGGTATTTGGATAGATGGAAAGAAAGTATCGGTAGTAGTAGCTAATTATCAGAAGCAGAGACTCAGGCAAGCTGTTAGTAGTAACGTCAGAAAGGAAGAAGATAAGTTGAAGAAGGGAATGACTTGGAGAAGAAGAGGTGGATCTGAGTCTTTCAATCGATTGAGGGATGACATATCATATAAGGATGCATTAGTATCTTATGATGGGCGGAGAGAAGTTCCAGCGAGTAAAGAGACAAGGGAGGGTCATCCAGGAAAGGAAGCAAGTCTGAGGAATTTGTGGAAGATGCATATTCCCTCAGATGAATATGACTGGGTGAAAAGATCAATAACAGAGATTATCAAATCCTATTTTGAATTGGAGCTAGTAGTGAAGGGGCTGGCTAATGATGGGATCAAGGTCAATGGATCTAAATGGGTTTATTCATGGAACTCTTGTATCTTAACCTTTGGTTCGAAGGAAGAGTTCGAGGAGGCATGGTCGAACAAAAGGGAGGAACTGTTCTTTTGGTTTGATTGGCTCGATCCACTTATGAGTATGGATGGTGTCCTGATGGCTTTTTGTGCGGTGGAATTGGTTGGAGTCCCCTTGCTATATTGGAATGTTCCTTTTCTGGAAAAGCTTGTTTCAAGGTGGGGGAAACTGGTGTGTATTCATGAGTCGACGGTCAGAAGAGAGGATCTGGCGATGGCAAGGGCACTGTTGAGGGTGGCCAGTCTTTATGATATACAAGAAACTGCTACATTGGGCTCGTATGGGAAATCCTTTAAGGTAAAAATTAATGTGGGATCGGTTAGTACAAAACAGGATAGCTCTTCAGTAGCAAATTTTACGGTGGCCGGTGATGGTGAGTCCAGAGATGAAGCTTCATCGGAGGAGAAAGAAGATAGGTTTTCAGGCGGGGTAGGTAGCTCAAAGTTGCTAGCTGAGGATTCTAGGGACACAGTAGACATATGGTTGGTAGGGGATGACCGTACAACAGTGGTAGGCTGCAGTGAAAGTCATCATTTAATGTTGCAGGATGGAGAAGGTCAACCTAGTCGTGGAAAGATGTCAGATTTTTCAGAAGAATATTTGAATTTTAAAGGGGATTACCGGGGTTTGGTTTAAGGAATGATATCATCAATGAAAGGGATAAAGCCCAATTAGAGGAGTTGAGTGAGCCCAATTCAAAAAACACTGAAATTTCCCCTTCTGGGCCAGCTGTTAATTTATTTAAATTGGGCTATGGTAATTATAAGGAGTCTCAGGTGGAAATATTAGGAGATCAACAGCATCATGGTTCGGTTGAAACAAATACGCAGAATGTGGCTAATGTTCCGTCAGACTTAATCTCAATTTCGATTCCTGGTGGGGCCATTGACAGAGGGACTCCAAAAAAGTCAAAGGATGAAAGGTTAGAGGAAGTAACAGTCCAGGATAATGAAGATAGTAGAGCGGAAGCAACAAAGGTGGTAAGGGAAGCAAGGCAAGTTCATATGGGTAGTAATCAAGGGTTAGGATTATATAAGGAGTCTCTTGTAAATGGTATAAGGAGTTGGAGTCCTTTAGATCATTTGTCTAGAAGTCTACATATAAGGAATGCATCGATAGGAATGTGGAATAGAGGCTCTATCTCTAGAATGTATAAAAGAACTAGAGACAGAAATGTGTGGTTTAACTCGAGCAGAGAAGAAAGAGCATTGCAATCTTTAGAGATGACTGATCATAACAGGACTATAATTGAGCCTATGTTGAGTAATCAATCTCTTCCTGTTATCGTGGAGGGAAGATCTTTGGGAGTGGAGGAGGAAGGTGGTTCTAGGCACATTTCTGCAGTGGCTAAGAGTGTAAAAGATGTAACAGATTGTCAGTCTGGTCCAGTGGCTAGGATGGAGAAAAGAAGAAAGAGAAGGCTTCTGATCAGGGAATCTCTGGATGTGGTCAGTCTCCATACTGCATCTTCTTCAAATTTCTCGGTATTTTTGGAGGAGGCTTTGGCAACATGGGAAGTTAGTAAAATTTTGGGGATTATATTCAAAGAGGGGAAGAAGGCCTTCTTGGAAAAAATTATAAATTTTGAGGAAGGTTTGGATGAAAATAGGGTAAGGTTGGACCCGGGGAATAGACTTTTGTCTACTTTTTTGCTCTGAGGCTTTGGTTTAACAACAGTCTTCATGATAAAGATTAAGATTATTTCATGGAATGTAAGGGGTATTGGTAAGAAGAAAAAATCAAGAGATTTAGCAAGTATGGTCAAGAAGTACAAACCGTACATTCTCCTCATTCAAGAAACAATTAGAAAATTGTTCTCAGGCTCTTAGGAGAATGATAGGTGGAAGTATTCTGAATGGAGGAATTTTTGTTCCAGCAGTGGGGTCTGCAGGTAGTTTAATGGTTTTTTGGAATGATAAGGATTTTGAAGTTCTCAATAGTCACCTAAGTGGTAGATTCATAGCAGTTTTTGGGAAGTTTAAGAACTCAAGTGAAGAGTGATTATTAATGTGTATGGTCTTTCCATTGATTCTGAAAAGGCTGAATTTTTCAGGGATTTATTGGATTTTTTTGCTGCTCAAACCGTGTCAGTTTGCATTGGGGGGATTTTAATGTGTACCTTGATCCGGTAGAGAAGTTGGGAAAGCCTCAAAATTGGCTCTTTATTGATATTCTGAGAAATTTCTTGAACCAAACTAACTTGATTGATCTTTCTATGGTAGGGGGAAAGTTTACACGGTGTAATAATAGAGAAACTTTTACTTGGGTCAGACTTGATAGGTTTCTAATTTCTGGGAATTTTCTGATCTGTTTTCTGAATATTGTGCAGAGCATGTTACCTAGGTCTTTATCCGATCACAATCCCATTGCGTTGGAGGAAAAATTTGTAGATTGGGGTCCTAAACCGTTCAGATTTTTTAATTATCTTTTAGAGGAGGAAGGTTTTGAGGACTTGGTTAAATCGTCCTTGGATAATTTGCAGGTGAGTAAGAGGAGAAGGGGTATCTTCAAATTTTTACAAAGAACCAAAAAATCTATCAGAAACTGGTCTGACAGAAAGTTTCATGGGATTTATGAGTCAATTACAGATTTAGAATTGAAGATTAATGATCTTGAAATTAAAGCACAAAGTGGTGTTATCTCCCAACATGCGTGGGATCAGCTGATACAGTTCAGATCGAATCTTTGGAGGCTGTATAGAATTGAAGAAAGTATTTGGTTCCAGAAATCAAGGGCTAGGTGGTTCAAAGATGGGGACAGAAACACATGATTCTTTCATTTGTCTACGTTAAACAGGAGTAAAAGAAATGAAATTACAAGTTTGAAGTTTAATGCCTCTGTTGTATCTGATCCGCAATCGATTAAGTTGCATATTGCGGATTATTTTAAGGAAGCCTATAATTCTAAGTTAACTCTGGAAGTGGTTGATTTATCTATGGATTTTGCAAAGCTGACAGGGGACCAATCTTCAAAACTAAAGGAGCAGTTTTCAAAAAATGAAATATGGCAAGCGATAGCTTCATCGGACAGTTCTAAAGCACCAAGCCCGGATGGTTTCACCATGGGTTGTTGAAAACATTTTGATGTTTCGATATAAAAAATTAAGTTAAATGAATTTTAAGATTTTACAAAAGATTTTCTAAGTATATTCGATGTAATTATTCGAATATCAAAATATTACTCCAAGTCTTTCAAAGTTCATTTTAATCCTTACTAAAGTGTAAAATTGTGTTTTATACTTAAACTATTTTAAAACAATTTTACAAAGTATTTCGAGCCTTAATCGAGCCAAAAATATTCTCTTTTTAAAGGGTTTCAAGAAAAATCAGATTGTTCAGGGGGTACAGATTCCCCCCCAGGGGGTACAGATTCCCCTTGCATGGTTTGGCTCCGAGAAATAACAGATTACTCAAAGGGAACCGATTCCCCCTTGAGGGTACCGATTCCCTCACTGTTCATCAACCCAACGGTCATAATATTTGAATATTATGAAGGGGTATCGATTCCCTATGAAGGGGTACCGATTCCCCTCATTCTGGGCAACCTATTTTTGTAGAAAAATCATTCCCAAACGGCTCCAAAACATCCCCAAAGGCTAGACATGACTTCAAACACATTCCAAGCTATAAATACAAGCTAAGAATACTTGAAGAAGTAAGAGAATAACTATCCAAGCAATCAAACACAAGAGAAGAGTTTTTCATTCTTATTTCATCTTTCTCTTATAAATATTTTGTTCTTGTGAGCTCAATCTTGTAAACACCTACCTTAGAGAGGTTTTCTTGTTTACATCTTTTATCCTATTGTAAAGGGGAAATGTTCTAGCTTATCCCGTGTAAAAGCTAGGGAAAGGTTCTAGTTTAGCCCGGAAAAACTAGGGAGTTGTAAGGTTATCTCTTTGTCCTCAAAAGAAAGAAAAAATTAGTGAATTTGTTGGAAAATCCTTGGTGAGGAGCTAAGGTAATGGATGTAGACTTTGGTTGAGAAAGTCGAACCACTGTAAATCGTTGTGCA